CCCTCTTTTTCTGGGATCGGTATACAAAGTTTCTAACATTTCCTTGGGTCATTGATGGTAGACATTTATATGAAAATCTAGGATCTTTCAAGGGTAACTAGGTTGCAAAATTTCTGTCACAATATAATTTGTGTATAAAATAAATACAATTTGTGTATAAAATAAATTTTGGTTGCGGCTTATCTGGGCTTCTTCCCAAGCCCTCAATCAGTAGTGAATAAGGGTAGGGAAGAGAAATTAATTAAATGTCCCATCATGTTTGGAGCTGTCAGTCCTGATAATTTAAGCTGTCTTTCTCAGTTGGTGTTCATTCTTCCATTTGGATAAAATATCCAATCTCTTATGTATTCAACCCCCGGCTTCTTCTCCTAAGATGATGTCCAGGTGTGTGGAGAAAGGTGAGTGCAATTAACGGAGCCTATTAGCCATGAGACCAAATAAAACTTCTCAGATTCATGTGAGGCCCGTGTATTATCTTCTTATCCTCGCATTGCTGAGTCCACTATCTATCTGCTCTCTGGAAGCCTGCTGGCATTCCTGGCAGCAGTCTGGAGCTGGTAAGCTCATGGTCCTTTATTTGGGTCTGGGTAGGACAGTCTGGAAAGAGCATTCAACTCCTTCTGTGGCCTTGGCTCAGCTTCCTCCATCTGTAGAACCCCAAGTTCCTGCCATGAGGTCCATTCAGCTAACTGACCACTGGTCCATTCCCACAGTTGCTGTCCTAGAGCTGTCTTGCCTTAACGAAGAGTAGCCAGTGAAACTTAATCCACACAGACGTCCTCTGTCTATTCAGGTGACAAAAACAATGACCATTTTGATGTGGGCTTTGTAAGAAAGGTTATATCAATTCTTCAATGTTTTTGAAGACAAGCAGTATGTGAATATCTAGTGCTATACTTTTACCCAAGGTCTGCTTATTCTGGATTTAAAAATTGGTTGGACATTTCCAAGAGATAAAATACTGAGGTCTACTGGCCAGATGTACCTATTATCCCAGGGCTTTGGGAGGCCTACTGGGAGGATTTCTTGAGACCAGGAGTTTGAGACCAGTTTGGGCAACATAGCGAGATCCCTCGCTACCAAAAAATTTGAAAATTAGCTGACCATGGTGACATGTGCCTATAATCCCAGATACTCAGGAAGCTGAGGTGGGAAAATTTCTTGAGCCCAGGAGTTCAAAGCTGCAGTAAGCCATGATCACACCACTCCACTCCAGCCTGGGTGACAGAGCGAGACCCTGTCTCAAGAAAAAAAAAAAAAGAATATAAATAAAATAAAATAATTAATTAATTGAAAAAGAAATTGAAGTCTAAGATTATTTCCATGCATGGAGAAACCATACTTTACAGAGTTTCTCTGACAATACAACTTTTTTTTTTTGAGTTGGAGTCTCACTCTATCACCCAGACCTGCTGGGCTCCGGCGATCCTTCCGCCTCAGCCTTCCAAGTAGCCGGAACTATAGGCGTGCGCTACCACACCCGGCTAATTCTTGATTTATTGTAGAGATGAGGTCTTGCCAAGTTGCCCAGGTGGGTCTCGAGCCCGCGGGCTCAGGCAATCTACTCACCTCAGCCTCCCAAAGCGTGGGATTACAGGCTGAGCCACCGAGCCCGGCTACAATATAACTTTTTATCCAAGAGTTCAAGTACAAGTATTCTCTCCAAAAGTAAAATTCGATTTGAAATTGTTCAAGGACTGACCTCACCCTCATCTCTGTCTTAATCTGCTGAACTATGGAGATTTTCCAAGGTTGCCTAAGTCTAAACAGAAAATCTGAATGTTAGCAGTTCTTTTTTTTTTTTTTGAGTTGGAGTCTCACTCTGTCGCCCAGAGTGCAGTGGCCGCTCCCGGCCACCGCAGCCTCGACCTGCTGGGCTCCGGCAATCTTTCTGCCTCAGCCTTCCAAGGAGCCGGAATTACAGGTATGTGCTACCACGCCCGGCTGATTTTTTGATTTATTGTAGAGATGAGGACTTGCTGCTCAGGCGGGTCTCGAACCCACGGGCTCAGGCGATCCACTCACCTCAGCCTCCCAAAGGTGCGGGATTATAGGCTGAGCCACCGAGCAGTTCTTGATGTAGTTTCTGAAACTGCCAGGGGAGGGAGAGGGCACCCTTCATCCTAAGGGTACCTGATCTCAAACCAGGTGAAGTGGGGACCAAAGAGAGTCCACACTTTATCTGTATAATGATCATTTGTATACCTAACTTTAAATTGCACCCTCCATCTTTAAAAATATATTTATTATTACCACATACATCTAAATAGCAGAGTATTTTGTTCAGATTAAACTGGGTACAAGAAATAACCTTCCTATCAAGTCTAACTATTTGTATTAAAACAATATAAGCAGTTGTATTCAATTTCAGCATCATACTTTGAGAAGTAATTCAAAGTTGAGATACATTATCGGTGGTACCTCACCAGAGGTCAGTGCCTGGACTCTGACTAGTACTCTTTTTATTATTTCTACTTCTAGACTACCTTGTCCATAAGTGAAAAATGAACTTTCTGTATAATTTTTTTTTAATGCTGCGTTGCCTTCATTTTTATATTTTATGCTTTCTTTGAAACCAGGAAGTAGTTACAGAGTGTAAATCAACTGAACCCCTTTTTATTTTCGTGCTGAACTTCCCAGAGAATATTATGACTCTCCTTCGTCTGACACCTTGACTCTTCTCTGCCTGGATCAGACCTTGTTAGAACTTGTGGATCCTCAGCATTTGGTGGTTCTATTTAGTCAGGGTTGTGGACATCATGTAGCTTATTTCCTTTGGAAAATGCATGCGCATTTTTTCACTGGGTCTACAGGCTTGGGAAGTCTCTGTGGTCCCGAGAATTAATGTTTTTCAAATCCTTTTCATTTTCCCATGAGTACTGAGCACTAGGTAGTGTGGAGACGGGTTCCTCCTAGTTCAAGAGCCACCAGATCTTCTTCCATGTGAATAATCAGCGACATTCCCTCACTCATTTGTTCTCTCAACAAAGAATTCTTGAGCTTCTTCAGTTTCCAAGATTGAAGAATGGAAAACAGTAAACTGAATTACCTGGCTTTGGCCACAATTTACGTTTAATTCCAGTTAGTGTTCTTTCTCTTACTTGGAGGGGGACCCAGCTAATGAAATATATAAGGTCAGATTATCATCCTCACATTAGCAAACAAAATGTTTAGAAACTAAACGCACATGCCCAGAGCCGCCACGACAGACACTGTCTTCAAGATTTCTATCAAATTATTATGAGCAGAGCTTGTGGCCATACTGACCTATTGTGTACAGAACACATGTGCTAAAACTTGGAGAGCTATATGCATCAGGCATGGCAGACACCAAAAGACAGCGATGTAGGGAGTTAAGGCATTGAGATCCTTCTCCCCAAATCACATGACTGATTAATTCCTATCATAATAATGTGCCTCCTGCAGATGGAGTCCAAGATGAACCCATCAATTAATATAAATATTAGATTGCTTAATGTGAACGTTTGTTGATATTGCATGTATATAATAAATCAAACTACAGTTTAGAATTTTTCTGCCAGATGTATTTGTTGGTTTTTACCCTCAGAATAAGCTTTGTGATTATTTTAACAGCATCATTGGTTCGGTCTCTCTCTTTACATGTGTATATATTATGTGTAGATGCTTATATTTATACATATACACACAAATAATGCATACATGCCTATATTTTTTATAGATAAATATATCTTTGAGTATCTTGTGTTCCAAAACCAGTGCTTGCCTTCTAATTTTCAAAAAAGGCTTGATTCTTGCTAAATAATTGTATTTAAGAAAGCTTACATAGCAACATAGCAGAATTTACTTCTCAAAACATTCATTTAGTTACCAAAAGAAGTCACTACAATTTCAGTCAGTGGCCCCTAAAAGATCACTTAGAAATTGGACAAAAAAACAAATGTGGACTTTTCACTATCACCAACAGCTATGAAATAAGCAAGTGGCTCTGATCGGAAGGCTACAGTCAGAAAACTCACTATTGGGCAATCCTAGAAATCATTCATGGCCCACACGACCATTTCCTCTTCCTCAGGTGAGCCTGTGTCATCTTCACCCAATGGCGTGTTGTTCTGCTCTCACTCTACTGTTTCTTCAATGTCTTCTTTAACTGACCTTCATTTTGCTGTTCACTCTGCTGTATGTAATAAGTAGGGAACCCGCCAATAAATGACAAAAGCTTTTGGTGAATCTCCTCTCTCAAAGCATTTGGCTAACGGGTGCAAAATAGTAAACTCAGAGATGCTGAGGTAAAAGGATAACATGATGGCAAAGACTTCACCCATTGAATTTCGGAAATGGCACTGGGAAGTTCCCCAGGAGGACCACTCTCCTCAAAATCCTCAAAACTCTGAAATGGCTGCAACATGATGGATGGGTCAAAGTTAATTTTTGACCCTCTCCAAGGATAGGTGATGTGACTTATTTTGTTTCTGGGTGGGCGGGTGAGATTCCTGTGAAGCTAATTAGTATTTTTCATCTGCTACTCTATATCCTACGAGGAATTACTTACGCACAAGCCCAGGGTCAGAGTAAAGTTACTCCCTGCTCTCCTCTTAAGGAATTTGTTTATTATTTACTCTATATCCATTTTCACCAGTTTGCTGTAATTTAACTTCGATTAATGATACGCCAATATGTGAGCCAGGAAAACACTTCTTTCCCCTATGGCATCGCATGAAGTGGTCAAGGGTGGTGACAGTTCCAAGGAGAAATTTGGGCTTGGAAACTGAGTCCCCACCGGCGTCAGTGCCCTGGTCCTTCGCCATCTTAGCCAAAGCTTCTTCTGAGGACATCACATCAGGTTGTCCCCGATTGCCAGTAAATTCTCCTAAAGGTGGGACAAGCGTCAGGAGCGCATTTGACACAGCCCAGCCTCTCATGAGATGACTCCAAATGAAGGTCATTGTTTAAAACACAGCCACAGTCAGCCACTCTTCAGGCAAAGATAATGCATTTTACAAAACACACCAAGGCGGCAGAACAGTTCATTCCCATTGGAAGGGAGTCTTTATTTTCTACTTCCCCCCTTCTCTAAAATGGGCGATTGCTTTTCTGCCAAAGCGGCTCAAAAGGGCCATGAAAGCTAAAGTCCTTCAAAGCCGTTAAATGCATCTTCAAATTTACAATAAAATCAGCATGACAAATCTTCCAGTAAAATCTCTGGAGCATCCGAGCAGCAGCACTTACACAATTTTCCTTTCAGTCAGTGTTTTAGTATTCAACACCTTGAGAAACAGGGAAAGCCAATGTGGGTGAGGAAAGCAAAACAAAACAAAAACCAAAATAGAAGCAACAACACCAACAAAAAAAACAACACCACCAACAACAAAGACAGTGGGGGGGAAAAAACGCACACAGCCACCACGCAAGCTATTAAACAAATGCCAAAGTCAACAACCGGTGCGGGCTTGCCACGGCTGTGCCCTGCAGGTAGAAGGCAGGCAGCTCCGGAGCAAAGGAAAGGGAAGAGAAAGACAAGCAGGGAAGTGGAGGAGCCGGGAGCAGGGCGGCCTGATTGTGAGCCTCTAGACACACCGTCAGCCATGCAAAACAGGACATACCTTTCTGGCTTGCTGGTTCTGTCGGCTGAGACAAAGCAGTCCCGTTCGCAGCGGGAGGCCAAATCAAAATGAAATTTTATTTAGTCTGCACTGTCCCCAGATTGGGTTTCAGAACGACTGCTTTAGGAGATAGCATGGATGTGGCTGTTGCATGCTTTGCATATGAAACTGCAGTAGGAAAAGAAATCTACATAATCAAAAAAATCTGTGCTCTGTGTGTGCGTGTGACAAAAACCCTGGACTCCAGTGATTTTGCTGCCGTGTATGTTTCAGGCAAGCCCTTTCGGGGTGAAATACGTTTTTCAAGATGTTTTAAGTAATATTATCAGCAGATACTAATGAATCTGTGACAGTCTAGTTGGTGAAAATATATGCAGTTTCCTGGTTCCAACTCTGCCACATTAAAATAATTGTGATTTCTGGTATATGTATGAGCGTATCAAAAATTTGTGTGAGAAAACAGAATCTAAAAACATGTGTAGGATTTGGGGGGAGGGCTTGGTCTAACAATTACTATACCCTACGAACCTTGATTAAAATAAATTAAAAGCTTAAATGTTATATAATACTGTGAAATAAAGACTAAGAGCCTCTTTGACTTTTCTCTGGGAAGACACTTAGTTCATTCATATTTAGAGGTTATTTTTAAACATAGGGAAAAGTCTTTAAAAACACTCTTTAGATGTTGGAAATTATATTTTCAAAATTTAAAAAGGTACAGTAAAATGTATACAGAATGAATATCGCAGAATCTTTATATAGATATATGTGCGTTTTATGCGTGTGTGTGTGTGTCTGTGTGTACACACACAGACACACACACACACAAACACACACACACACACACACACACACACACACACACACACACACACCACACACATGCTCTTAATACAGGGTTGCATCTAACACTGGCCAGGAAAAGGAAGTGATATTCAAGGTGCTGGGAAACAAGGGGACAGAATGGAGCCTGTTGGTAAATATATATTATTTCTCGAAGAAATACTTATCCCAGCTTGGTTTTGATAGATCAGTTCCTTGAGGTCGAGTGCTGCCAATCATTTTCTTTAAAGAGGAAATAAAAAGAGAAAGAAAAGAAGAAACTGAAAGAAAGAAAACCTACCTGTATAAAATGGTAGCCAAAAAAAAAAAAAAAAAAAAAAGGCCAGACAGGCTCTCCCACCGTGCAGTGCTCTGAAAACACACGGACAGTCATCGTTCTGTTTTATGAAGTATTTCCAAGGACAGGAGGAATATGAAATCTGCCCATTTAAGCTCTGAGGAGGTAGTCTCTGAGCTATGACCCAGAGCAGCATTAAAACTTCTCACAATAATGAGATACAAATAGCTTAAACAATGTGCTTCCAGCCCCAGCAGAATTCACCAACAGCAGAGCCACATACCGACACCCCAGAAAGAAACAGTCAAGACTCATTCTGTGATTCAGGCTTAGACATAATTTTCTTAGAAAAGCTTTTCTGTGTTCCAGGCTGGATGGGTGACCTGTCAATATTAATATTTACAAATGTAAAGGTCTCCTTCAATTGATAATTTTGCATCAGGTCCGATGGCATCGTGTTCAGCTGTGCACGCCACCAGCATAATTAAAGCGTAAAATCCAAAGAGAGCAAATAACATTTGCTTCCTTTATGCTTCAGAACCACTGCATCCAGGTCTCCCTGTAACAAGGGCAGTGCCTTGGCTTCTCTGTTGCTTTTAAGCAAGACCCTCTTTTGCCTTGTCTCTCTGTTATATCATAATTATTCAGACAGTCATTAGGCAAGAGTTTTGCCTGCATATTGTTTTTTAGTGACAGGACTCCCCTTTTCGAGGGACAGAAAGATACGACTCCTTAACAAATGCTCTATCCCCCAAATTCAGTGCACCTGGCATTCACTTTCTACCTAATAAGCATCTGTGAATATGCAAATGTTCAGTGTCTCAGTAACCTCATTAATTTATTCCTCAGGCAATCATAGAATGTGAACCAGTCTTGTGCCACCAGGACTGGAAATGGTGGGATCAGGGCTACGAGAATGAGCTGAAAGCTCTGGCTGCATATTGAAATACTGTTTCATCTTTATTCCATCCTTTGGCACTCTAATTCAAACAAAGACTCTTACCTTCCTCCACTTAGCTGACAGCCAAAAGCAAAAGTTAAAAAAAATATGTATATGCCTAGGGTTAATAATTAAGATCTTCCCTCCACTGCCAAATACAAATCAGAGGTGATTCATGATTTGAACAAAATCTCCGCAGCGAAACAGTTTCCAAACGGCCCAAGTTGTCTTATTTTGTTATTTGTTGGGGGG